CGACGACGACGACGACCACCACTGCTACTACTCCTACCTCTACTAGTCCTACTCCTGTCACTACCCTAAACCCTAAACCCTAAACGGTTTCTGAGAGTGCCTGAGGTCTTGGCCACCGAGGATGCCATCCTCCCGGCCCCGCGCCAGAGCCGCGTTTCGGAGGCCTTCAGCGTGATATCTATATCTTTATACTTTTATATGTATGTATATGTATGCATATAAGTATACATGTATAAATAAATAAATAAAATAAGAAAATAAATAAATAAATAAATATATATATATATATTAAGGTATTGTTTTGCTTTGTGATACGTACTATTCAAACGGTGCCGTTACAGCGGCGCTTTGAATATATCGAAAGAAGTTGTTATAGGATTCTGTCGCGCCTCTATGCCCATAGAGCCCACTCGTTGAGAACATGACGGTTCAATTAGTGGGCTATCCCCCATGTTATGGGATAGTCCTTGAATGTTAAGGGGGATGCTTACAGGATAGCCAAGGCTGTCGCGCGCTCTGGATAGGGCACTTCCGCTTTGGGCAGGGCTGGGGGCCGATAGCGTTGGTTTATAGGGGTGTATACACATAGGTCCCATATATAGTAGGTCCTTTTTGGGATTACCTTACAGGATTCTAAGTATGAACCCCCAAAAGGAACTACTATGGGGCCTATGGGTAGACCCTAAATCCTAAACCCTAAAACCCTAAACCCTTTAAACCCTAAACCCTTTAAGGGCTCTAGTACCACTATATAGTAGGTACCTGGAGGGTTAGGGTAAGGCTTTGTCAAGATGCCGAATGAAAGCTCGAGGTTTGGGTTTTGGAGGGACGAGGTCGGTAGCGGCCTGGTAGGTGCTACGGTTTAGGGTTAGGGTTTAGGGGTTAGGGCCGTTTAGGGTTGAGGGTTTGTAGGGTTTAGGGGGATAAAGAACTTTCAGGGCTTGGCAGTTGAGGTTCTAGGGTGGCAGGGTTCGGGTGCCGCGCGTTTTGTTTCGCTTCCGGTGTTGAAATTGGCCAGCACGGGCCCAAGATAGACTGGAACACGAGTTCGAGGTTTTTGGATAGCGGCTTTTTTGAATTTACGGTTTAGCAGGTGTGCAGTTTAGGTAGCGCCTAGGGTTGCAGAGCCCTCCACGTGGCTTTGTCCGTGAACCCGGAGCCAGAGCACCCAGTACCCCTGAATTAAGGAATATACCTTAAATCCGATTATTAGGGTCCTAAACCCTAAACCCTAAACCCTAAACCCTAAACCCTAAACCCTAGCTTAAGGTATATTCCTTAATTAAGAGGTATTGGGCTCCTCTGGGGAAGCCATGACCGGCGCAGGAGTATCGGAGGTTAGAGAAGGAGGATCCGCTCTTGAAGGAGAACCCCAAGCGCCGCTCTGACTGCACTGATGGTTTAGGGTTTAGGGTTGAGGGTTTAGGGTTTAGGGTTTAGGGTTTAGGGTTTAGGGTTTAGGGTTTAGGGCAGAGTATAGGGCTTGTTGCAAGGTTTTGGGTGGGGACCATTTTTAGAAGGTTTTGCCGGGTTTTATGTAGGGTTTTCTGGGTTGATCATTCCGCAGCACTATTCAATGTGAATATAACCCCCACAACCTGTTGAGCAAAACCACTTCCGAAAGCCCAAGCACTAAACGCGTGGATGTTCGTGCCTCGCCAATGGTTCTCAGCGCATGTACTGCTGAATGGCAAACCGCGGCTTTTAATGGTTTTCAAGGGGCTGAGAAGGCGTTGTACTTTCAATAATAATACCATAGTGAGGAAAATATCGCACCTTCCCAAGGTTTCGAGAAGGCCATCGACGATTTTGTGGGGTTATTGCAACCGTTCTTTTGAACTGAGAGGGAGATCCTAAGCAGAAAAAAAGGCCTACCAACCTAGGCGCAGAAGGGCTCCTACAGCTCCGCAACCCTACATTACGCAAAGACTCCAATACCCCTCAATTAAGGAATATGCCTTAAATCATATCAGGGATCCCACTATAGTTTAAGGTATATTCCATAATTATGCGGTATCGGAGTCTCTGGGTATCCAACACAAAAACTATTGTCTTTGGAAGGGCCGCCCTATTCGAAGGTTTTGTGGGCTTGGAGACCACACTCCCCAACTTTCTGAGGCTGCTTTGATCCAAAAGTGCCCACGGTTTAAGGTTTAGGGTTTAGGGTTTAGGGTTTAAGGTTTAGGGTTTAGGGTTTAAGGTTTAGGGTTTAGGGTTTAGGGTTTAGGGGAGGCTAGAAGACCAAAGCATATGGCAAATGCCTGACTTTAACGATGGCCATGCTGACCGTCACTTCGCTCGCATGTGTATTTCACGGTTTCAAAACATGCGTCCATGTAGTTTCTTGCTTGGTTGACCCTTAACACTTTGAGCTACTGCTCCGAATGCAGGAGTCTGAGCTACTGCAATAATGCTATGCCCTACTAAGAAGTTTTTATAACCAGATATGAACAGCTTAATATCCACCGAAGCCTTCAATTTGCAGGACCCCTAAATTATAATGTTAAGACGGTCCCGCCTCGGCACAGAGACTTCCCACCCGATTGGTGGTCCTGAATCCCAAACCCCCATGGCCCCAAACCCTAAACCCCTATACCCTCAAACCCCAAACCCCTATATTATGCCCTAAACCCTAAACCCTAAACCCGCAACCCTAAAACCCCAAACCCCTAAACCCTAAACCCTAAACCCGCAACCCTAAAACCCCAAACCCCTATACCCTAAACCCCAAACCCCTCGCAACCCTAATCGGTAGTATCTGCAGGCTGGGTGATGTTCCCTCTGCAGCATCCGGAAGTTTGGGAGATGCCGCTTGCCAGGGAAGGGGTGGAGGGTAATGCAGACCCCTGTTTCAAGGTTTAGGGTTTAGGGTTTAGGGTTTAGGGAATAATCAGGATGATAGTGGGGATCTATAAAACTTCTTAATCGGGGGTCTACAACCTGAACACCTGAAGTGAGGTTCTAGGACTAGGACTTCCAAGCGTCCGCATCGAGTCAGCAACCATACCTTGACTGACTGTGATCAACCTACTGCAGCACCTGTAAATTTCACTGCATCATCTAACACACCATGGGACATGCGTTGTTGTCTCATGATCTGCTTATATGATACATAGCTTCTATCTGGTGGTTCTATACTGAGTGGCCTGTCTTTCAGGAAGTGCAAAGGTCGAGCTGTCAATGCGACGCTGCATCTCATGATGCATCCCCTCGGAACAATCGGCCGACCCCAAATTACAGCTTGAATGCGAGCTCCCCCTCCCCTAAACCCTAAACCCTA